TGTGGAGCCGATGATGTTGGTGGGAGTTTTGTAGTCCGTGATGTGTTTCACGCCTTGCCACATTAGTTTGGGCTCAGAGGTGGAATAGAACCCCTCCAGTTTCTCCCTGTATTGCCTTTTCGCTGATCTTATAGCTTTTCTCAGACCGTATTGTGCTGTTTTGTATTCAGTCTCACTGCCTGATGTGAAAGCTTCAGTTCGAGCACGCAGCATGTGACGTACCTCACTGTTAAGCCAGGGTTTCTGGTTTGGGAACCTCCTGGTTTTTATGGTGGGCACAATGTTGTCCACACAAGTGATGATGTACCCGGTCACAGATTCAACATACTCCTGAATATTTATGGTGGAATCCTCCATTGTGGCTGCGTTTCTGAATACATCCCAGTCCGTTTGTGCAAAACAGTCCTGCAGGGTCATCTCATAATAAATATCTCACATCTCACAATAAACACACATTCTCATCGCCGCGCTGGCAAACATGTACATATATTAATATCGGTTCTGTTTGTTATGATATCGGACCGATAAGTATGATGTCATACTTCCCTGATATCGGGCCGATACCCCTAATCGAAATAAATCATAAAACGTAAAATAAATTGTAGCAATATTCTTTTTGTTCGTATTTTCTTTTTTCTTAATTATAATGCAAGAAGCTAGATTGTCATTCATTTCATTATGTAACTTTGATTTATAAAATGATAATAACTTTTAGTTAAAAGAAAACACAAATCAAAAATATAAAGAACATTATTATTTTGTTTATTATCTTGATTAAATAAAATAAACTGTCTCTTTTGAGGGAGGTCTTCTGAGACCAGGGTCAAAGACAGGTGGAAATGTTTATTCCCCCTCGGGGTGATATTGACCCCTACAAAAGTGAGGAAAGAAAAAAAAGACGGACACTCACCGGCCACTTTATTAGGTACACCACGCTAGTAACGGGTTGGACCCCCTTTTGCCTTCAGAACTGCCTCAATTCTTTGTGGCATAGATTCAACAAGGTGCTGGAAGCATTCCTCAGAGATTTTGGTCCATATTGACATGATGGCATCACACAGTTGCCGCAGATTTGTCGGCTGCACATCCATGATGCGAATCTCCCGTTCCACCACATCCCAAAGATGCTCTATTGGATTGAGATCTGGTGACTGTGGAGGCCATTTGAGTACAGTGAACTCATTGTCATGTTCAAGAAACCATTCTGAGATGATTCCAGCTTTATGACATGGCGCATTATCCTGCTGAAAGTAGCCATCAGATGTTGGGTGCATTGTGGTCATAAAGGGATGGACATGGTCAGCAACAATACTCAGGTAGGCTGTGGCGTTGCAACGATGCTCAATTGGTACCAAGGGGCCCAAAGAGTGCCAAGAAAAGATTCCCCACACCATGACACCACCACCACCAGCCTGAACCGTTGATACAAGGCAGGATGGATCCATGCTTTCATGTTGTTGACGCCAAATTCTGACCCTACCATCCGAATGTCGCAGCAGAAATCGAGACTCATCAGACCAGGCAACGTTTTTCCAATCTTCTCTTGTCCAGTTTCGATGAGCTTGTGCAAATTGTAGCCTCAGTTTCCTGTTCTTAGCTGAAAGGAGTGGCACCCGGTGTGGTCTTCTGCTGCTGAAGCCCATCTGCCTCAAAGTTCGACGTACTGTGCGTTCAGAGATGCTCTTCTGCCTACCTTGGTTGTAACGGGTGGTTATTTGAGTCACTGTTGCCTTTCTATCAGCTCGAACCAGTCTGCCCATTCTCCTCTGACCTCTGGCATCAACAAGGCATTTCCGCCCACAGGACTGCCGCTCACTGGATGTTTTTTCTTTTTCGGACCATTCTCTGTAAACCCTAGAGATGGTTGTGCGTGAAAATCCCAGTAGATCAGTAGTTTCTGAAATACTCAGACCAGCCCTTCTGGCACCAACAACCATGCCACGTTCAAAGGCACTCAAATCACCTTTCTTCRCCARACTGATGCTCGGTTTGAACTGCAGGAGATTGTCTTGACCATGTCTACATGCCTAAATGCACTGAGTTGCCGCCATGTGATTGGCTGATTAGAAATTAAGTGTTAACGAGCAGTTGGACAGGTGTACCTAATAAAGTGGCCGGTGAGTGTATATCACACTTGATATTGTCGTGCAATATTTACAAAAATTATCTCCTTCGCAAGATGTTCTAATGTCGTGCAGCCCTACTACACATGCATACAAACACATTATTTTATCAGACTAGATGCAAGTTTTAAGAAAATAACTTTTGTTATAAAAAAAAATAGGGATCTGAAAAAACTTAATGAGATAGATGGATTTTAGAACAGCAGAGTCTGACAGGAATGGACAGCTCTGATACCCTCAGCTGTCAACATATGACAGGCTGCAGTTTTTAAATGCATCAAATGCTAGATTTATTAATATTTTCCAAGTGCAACATGAAGACACTGAAAACATAAATAGTTTTAATATTAAATTTAAAAAGAACCCTGAAGTTGTAATTTTAAAGATGTTGCTGGTGTGGATAAGTTTAATGGTTAATCAGTGCTCTTGGACTGGTTGAAGACTTTATATCTGCTGCGTGTTGTGTGTTTTCCACATGCATTGGCTGAACTGCATGAGTGTGACTTTCTGTGTACCTACTGCCTGCACGGACTCTTAGCGTTGCAACACTTCTATTTCTGACCATAAACACAAAATAATTTGTATAGTTGATGGCTGATGCGACTATTTAAGTGGAAAAATTAGAAGAGTTGTAGCATGAGACACAAACAAAGTGCTAACACGGCTGCTGGTCAGTTGTTGTCCTTTTTAATTGCTTACTTTCTTGCACCTAGTCCCAAATAAACAAGCTCTAACTCAGTTTGTTCTAGTTCTGGTTTTACTTGACTTATAAAGAGGGCTTTAGCTGGCTCAGAAATGGCCTCCAGTGCAGTAAAACTACATGTCCAGACCCATGTGAAGATATCAGCTCTACTTTCTCTGCTGCTGCTAGATAACATAGGAAATGAGAAACTCTGCAACCTGCGGCAGACAGAAACTACTTAAACATTATGTCTGATCATGTCTTTGCATTTTTCTCTCTCACACGTTTGTGTCTTAATTATCTTTTTTTTGTTCCCCCTGCTCTTTTAATAGTTTTGTTCCATCTGACTTCCCCTCTCTTTTCCCCACTCCTCAGGCTCTGAAAGCTCTACAGGACATGAGTTTGTCCTCTCCGTTGTCCCTTCCTCTTTTCTCCACACGTCACAGTAAAGCCATTCCTGTGCAGGCCTTTGAGGTACAACACACACACACACACACACACACACACACATACACACACACACACACACAGATCACAAATCAGAGCTACTGTGGTGATAATCAAGTCATTTTTACAGAAATCTTCCGTATATGCCTATATGCTAAATTTTTGTAATGCTTTCAGTTTGTGGAAACTTAACTCCGGATTGGTTCAATTTATTGAGCCTAAAGTTTTGAAGAAAGCTAGTTTGGAGTCACAGAGGGCACACTGAACCTAGATTACAATTCAACAGGAAAGCCGTGAATTCTGTAGCTCAGGAAGTGTGTGAGTACAGCTGATGTGAGTCCAGAAGAAAGTCTGACGTCATCATGCTGCTCATTACTTTTACATAATGAAATGTAGAGAATAGCTTTTCATTCGTTAATTTGTCTTTTTTATTATGCTGGTTCTTTGAATGAGAGTAAAAGTTGTGGTGAGGAAAGTTAGGAGAAAAAGTGTAAAGTGGGCGCTCCTGTAGAGGGAGGTGAAGGGATATGAAAACGATCAGTCAGCTGAAGTTTGCATCCTTTACTGGTGACAGCATTTCAGAGCTTCCTGCTGTGCGGAAACCTAAACATTGACCTACAAACACACCTTCTGCTATGACTTTAAAGTTCTGTAAAATTAATGTTTTTATAGGAAATGGTGGATCCTGTGTGTAAACAGAGATTTATTCACTGCCGTATTAAAATGGTGAGAAGAGAATCAATTTTCTCTATTAGGTAAAATTTCTCTTTTTAATTATTTTTTTATTAATAGTATAGGGATGGTTATATATTAATTAATTAAATAAAATAAACAGTATTTGGTTTAATTTGGAGATCTCTGCTGCTGGTATGAAATGACCTTTATGGACTTGTGCACATTTTATTAAAAAAAAAAAACCCAACAACCTCCCAAAAGTTTCTCTTTATGTCGTCTGCATTTAAGAAACAAGGAAAACTCGTGAAAGTCCCCTGTGCAAGGTGAAACTCTCCATCACAGAATGAAATTGAAGCCAAGTTTGAGTAAACTCAGTTTGTTAGCGTTTTAAAGTAAGTTTAATGGAATTGTTCCGTAAGCCCAGAGAATAAATGAGGCAGAAGCTCCAGCCAAAACAAACCAGCCTCAAACCAGCCACGCACTCCACTGTTGGATTTGGGCCACTCCTCTAAACCTAACAGAAGTTTTTAAACTTCCTGACTCTAAAAATAACTGTAAAAATAACACAACCACTATGCAGAACGACAGGTGTGTCGTCTCTCTCGCCGACTGTGTGCTGATGTTTGCTGACTTGACGGTGCTGTCAAAGATTCTGCTGATTAATGCTTGGGACAGTTTTCCGCAGGTGTTTTCTCGGCGTGTGTGGGCGTTTGTAATTCTTCTCGTTGTGGTTCACGTCAGGTGAAGCTTGATGTTTACCTGGCAGAGCTGACAAAGATTGGAAAGAGTCAGAAGTACACTTTATCTGTGGACGTGGAGGCAGGGAGGCTGGTAGTGCTGAAGAAAGTGAAGGACAATCAGGAGGACTGGAACACCTTCACTCACGACAAAAGTAAGATTTTTACACACAAAACATATTAAAGACGCGCCAGTCCAGGTGTTTTCTCCCCAACGTCATTCAAAGATGGAGGAACTGGTAGTAAAGTTTCAAGTCATCACTTGTTTTTATGTTTTTATTTATTTGTTTTTTTGCATACCCATGTCTAACCCTCTGTGTCTCGTCTGTCTCTTCCAGTCCGTCAGCTGATCAAGTCTCAGCGGGTTCAGAATAAACTGGGCATTGTGTTTGAGAAGGAGAAGGATAAGAGTCAGAGGAAAGACTTCATCTTTGCTAGTGCCAAGGCAAGACTTAATATAGATATTTCATGTGACCCCCTCATATCAAACCAAGGATCAAGTCAGATTTGGTCAAAATGACTTCATCCTCCTGCTTTTTAAGCTTCATTTTGATACCTGAGTCATCCTGATCTCAGGAGCAGTTCCTGAGATTTGCCTTGATTTGTCTTGTTAATCAAATAAACCCACATATATTTGGTCTGAATCCTATTTTTAGGTTGTTCTAATGAGGAGTTTTTGATGTTATTATAAAGAGAAAACCTCAAGTAATATTTGGATATTGAGCTTTCCAAGATGGAAAGAATAAAGGCTTTGCTAGCACACCGGGAAAATATCAAAAATTTAAAGCATTTTTGATTAAAATCATGTTTTTTGTAACTATTGCTCATAAATGGGGTTCAAAAAATGTTTAAGATTATATTTCAGACAGATCAAATGATCCATTGATAAAAAGTATTCATTATATTTTGACAAAATGTGTTTATTGCAAATGTTTTAATTATGTTTCTCCTCATAATCCCTGGTTTGATGTGATGGATCACATATATTCAGCTTTTATAAGTTATAGTTATGAAATGAAATAAATGTATATAAAGCATCCCTCATTCTATTATATTTTGTTTTCAAAAAGCCTGATGTCTTTGTAATTAAAAAATGCTCTTGATTTGTAGTTCTCCAGGTGGTTTCTGAAAGTGAAAGGCAACAAAACAAGTTTAAGACCTAAAACAGCAGCTGATCGTGGTATCGTAAAGATAAAATAAATTTAGAAAAGACCAAAGGGATCTGAAAGAGCAACAACTCTTCAGTTGCTGAGACGACGTATGTTGTGACTTGGCGCTTTATAAATAAACTGAATTGAGTTGATTATCCACTGTACTCCAGTGAACAACACTGGTTTAAAAGATTTTTAATGTCTGGATGGTTCATTGGTCAGAATTACGTGGCTCAAGGAGCAAAGGTAAGGAGCTGGATCCATCAGGATCAAAAAAGCAGCCGAAGTCAAAACAAAATCTTTAAAAGACTTTCAGAAAGTCTGAAGAAATATTGATCAAGACCAAGTTAAAAAGATTGCAAAACAGGGCCTCCTTTGCAGCCAAATATGTAAAGAATACGAGATGACTCAAGACTTCTGAATGCTTAACATTTCCAAAAATATTCCGATCGACATACCAGACCGTGTTGAGTCAGACACCCTCTGGATCTCTTTCCGCTCACGGTTTTATGTGTGTTTCAGAAGAGGGAGGCATTTTGTCAGCTGCTGCAGTTGATGAAGAACAAACATTCCAACCAGGATGAACCAGACATGATTTCCATCTTCATAGGCACCTGGAATATGGGTCAGACACCCAGACACATCCTGCAACATAAATTAATTAAGTATTGGTGTGTGAAATATTGAATTAGAACTGGTCTGATTATTAGTTTTTGTCTGTAGGTTCGGTTCCATCGCCAAAATCTGTGGCATCGTGGGTTTTGTGTCGCGGCCTGGGGAAGACTCTGGACGAGATGACCGTCACCATCCCTCATGACCTCTATGTGTTTGGAACCCAGGAGAACTCTGTGTGTGACAGAGAATGGGTGGAGTCACTCCGTGTCGTACTGAAGGAACAGACTGAACTGGATTATAAACCGGTGAGGGAACACCAGGAGCTAATTATCTCACAGGCCTCTATTTCCTCCAGCTCAGTTTGAATCATTAGGAAGGTGTCTCAGTTTGAAACTGATGGATTTCTTTGTGGTCTGAAAAATGCAACAATGATGAGTCGTTGCTCAGTTTCAATTTGTTTTGTCAGATTGCGGTGCAGACTTTGTGGAACATTAAACTTGCTGTGTTGGTGAAACCAGAACACGAGAACAGGATCAGCCACGTGGGGATGTCCAGCGTCAAGACAGGGATCGCCAACACATTGGGTAACAATAACTCATTGTTGTCTAACTACAATAAGTCTAATCATGTGGTCAAATTTATATTGTTTTTAAGACATATGCCGCTTTTTGTTCTAGGAAACAAAGGAGCAGTGGGCGTGTCGTTCATGTTCAACGGGACATCATTCGGCTTTGTGAACTGTCATCTGACATCAGGGAACGAGAAGATCGCCAGGTATCCTCTACTTTCACTCACACACGTCTACAAGTCTATGGCAGTTTTAACAATTACAATACCAATTGTTTATTCATTTACAACTACAGTTTTATTCATAGCAATGGTTCAGGTGAAACAAAGCCAAACATCAACCATTTTTAAAAGTCACTTGACAGCTGGTGATTATTTAAGGAACATCATTTGTTGTCTTCTGACCCACATTTGGGTTCTCGGGATGGGATAAATCTTGTGCCAGCAGGAATTGAATTTGAATTGCTCAGATTGAATCTGAATGTGCATAATTTGAAACTGAATGAATTAGTTTGAAAATGAATTTTACTAAATTGAAACTGAATTTAATGATTTGAATTTGAATTACTGTATTTATTCATGTATAATACGATCTCATGTATAATACGAT